CCTTGGGAAGTTTGGGGGGGCTCTCTAGGCTACCTTTAGGATTCTTGTATCGGTTTAGGGTTTTTTTTAAAGGGTTTAGGGTTTAGGGGTTTAGGGTTTAGGGTTTAGAGTTTAGGGTCTAGGTTTAGGGTTCAGGCCTTGGTTCAAGGGGGTGGGAGAAGCCATTATCTAGGAGCGGAGATTATATACATGTGGTCTTTATTTGCCTATTCATCTGTGTTGGGTGGTTGTATCGCTTATTTACACATATATATATAAAGATATAAACATATATACATAAACACATTTATATATATATACACATTTGTTATACATGCACCTACCGATCGCGTATGTATGTGAACACGCACATCGATGGTATCCGAGATTCGTAGTCGAGCTCTTCGATGAATGGGGGTGCAGCCCGGTCGACGAGCTCGAAGATGCTCTTAAACCTCGGATAATTAGGGTTTAAGGTTTAGGGTTTAAGGTTTAGGGTTTAGGGTTTAGGGTTTAGAGTTTAGGATTTGGGGTTTAAGGTTTAGGGTTTAGGCTTAGGGTTTAAGTTTTGGGGGGTTTTCGGTGCTGCGGGTTGAGGGGGTGGGCTGTGGACTAAATTTTTGGCGATCTTGGAGGCAGGCCGGTGCTTACCAGGTTTAGGGGCTTTGGGGCTTTGGGGTTTAGGGTTTAGGGTTTAGGCTTCTACTTGGAGGATCATGGGACTTAGTAACTAGGGTTATACATAAGGTAACTATAATTATAACCCCAATTAATTAGGGTACTTATAACCTTACTTACTAAGTCCCATGATCCTCTAAGTAGGCTTTCGGGTTTGTGCTTTCCAGCAGACCAGCCACTGGCGTGCGTAGCGCTCGATCGGAACGAAGGAGCCTTAGCCGAGAGAAGTTCGAGCTCAGGGCTTGCTGATGCTGTCACAAAATCACGTCTTCAAATCAGTCCAATACTATGACATATTATGATCCCCATATGGGAAGTTCTCTAAACTAGGGTCCCTTTTTTGGGTCCTTTCAATAAGGGTGCCGTACTATATTGGGGACCTAAACAGGGACCCTAATTTAGAGAACTACCCAGAAAGCCCCTAATACAACCAAGTATAACAATCCCAGGCCCTGGTTTTATCTACTTTGGGCTCCCTGAACACAAGCCCTGTCCCGGAATTGAAGATAAGACCAGTCTCAAGGGCTGGAATCGGCTACAAACTTCGATTTGGGAAGTACCCTAAGGCTCTGACTGTTGTTATGGGCTTTCTAGGGGAAGGTTTGGGCATTGGGGGCTAAGGTTTGGGCTTTCACTATGGGGGTCCATGAGCCTAAGGGTACTGCTCGAGTAGAAGAAGCCCTCCCCATCTTCAAACCGAACCATCGTAACACCAAAGTCTGCTAACAGTGCTGATGCTAGAAAGACACGATGCCCCAGATCGGCGAGGCTCTCTGGAGCACACCATGCACCATCAACAATCTGCATCCCTGGCTCAGCGCCTGACCAATGGCTGCAAGCTTCCGCACCACGAAGAGGTCAAGTGTGACCTGCAAGTAGGGCTCATTCACCGACTAATTCGACGGGGGGCCAAAGGATTTTTAGCCATTGTCATTGTATAGTGCCTTATGGTTTCGAAATCATCGGCCGAACACGACCGGCACCTCGACCGCTAAAATCGCACACGAAACCCTTGTGCTAGGGCTTTTCACGTCCGAAGCAACGCGAACACAAATCACATGGTGACAAAGCCACACCCTCAGACCCGGCATCCCAACACAGGGCCCCAATGAGTTTGGTATACAATGTGCTTAAAGACCAAGCACAAGTCTGACGGAGCATTTTGCCACAATCCCTTTGCCCATCTCTGCAAAAGGCCGCAAAGCCCTGTCATAAAACACGGGGACAAGCTGGAAATGCTCAAGAAGTACATGACTATGAGGTCTTACAACATATAGACCTGCGAGTAAGGCCTCACCGATATATTTTTAAACCGTAACAGAACTCCTGGGACCTAAACCCGCAACCCCAAAACCCGGAACCTCAAAAAACTAAGCCCCGGACATCCGGAATCCCGAACCCGAAAACTCAAGATTGAAGCCTATAAGCTCGATAATCCTGAAACCCTGAAACCACACAAAGCCTGCTTGAAACCGCGGACAAAAACAAATGAAGCATTGAAAGCCAAACAAATAAACAAACAAAACAAACAAACAATCAAACAAACAAACAAATCAACAAACATCAACCGTGTAGATAAGCAAGTACATATATATATATATATAAATACATGAATATACATACTGACAGAGTCTTATAAACACTCAGTGATCCAAGGCCTGCTCGCGCACGTCGGGTCGCTGAACTTTCACGGCCACCTGCCCGACATTTCAAGGATTACACTGTGGACCCTGTAGGCAGGATTTGGGTTTTGGGGTTTCTCTAACTTTAAGGTCTGTGGCTTGGAGTCTAATATAGGGGCCTTAATAATTAGAATAGGGTTTTGGGGCCCACGATACTATATTTAAAATAAGGAACCCCCGAAATAGTATTGGTAAACATTTAGGCCCTTATGTTTTAGTTTGTTCACTGCAATAGTTGTTTCTCGGTTTTGTAAACCTAAAACCCCAAACCCTAAACCCTAAACCCTAAATCCTAAACCCTAAACCCTAAAACACCAATGCAGGCAGGACTGGGCCTGCTCTTCCTTGGCTGCTGTACCTTCTCGTGCAGCTCATCCTGCCCGTTACCTTTGAATAGACTCTTGCAGTCCCCTCCCTAAACCCTAAACCCTAAACCCTAAACGCTAAACCCTAAACCCTAAACCCTAAACCCTCAACTCAAAGTAATGATATGAACTTTCTTGCCGTCATTGATTTCCTGGAAATGATTTCCCCGAAGGTTCCTGGGAACGAACCAAGAGAAGTTTCTACAAATGCGTTCCGCAAATCTTTTTGGGAATGAGAATGGTTTCCACAAAAGTGTCTTGGAATGATTACCACAAGCTTTTTTGGAGATGAGCTCAAAAAGCACTTCTGCTGATGAGTTCCACAAAAACTTCTGGAAATGATGTCCACAAATATGTCTGGAAAAGGGGAGAGACCCCCCTAAGAAGAAGGATAGTAGAATTTTGTGTGGAGGGTCCCGGGTTATTTGGTCAGGGCTCAGGGTCTGTGGCTTAGGGCATGGGGCTTTAGGGTTTAGGGTTTAGGGTTTAGGGTTCAGGGTTTAGGGTTTAGGGTTTACAGTCTAGGCCCTTCGAATGTCTTTTCAAACTTCTTGGGGCCCCTGGACACGCTCAGACCTGGGGTCAACTTAAAGCCTTTAAAGCCAAGATCCCGGAAAAGCCGAGGGTTTGGGTTTTGGGGGGTTAAGGTTGAGGGTTTAGGGTTTAAGGTTGAGGGTTTAGGGTTTAAGGATCTTGCGAGTATTCGGGTGTTTTGGATTTAGGGCTGAGGAGTTTCAAGTACAGAGTTCAAAAGTTTAGGCTGAAACCTTTGGCACCCGAAGGACCTTCAGCCCTCAAGAGTTAGGTGCTAGGGGTTTAGGATTTAGGGTTTAGGGGTTTGAGGTATAGGGGTTTAGGGGTTTAGGGGTTTAGAGATTTATGGTCTAGGGCTTAGGGTGTAGATGACATCCGAAACCCCTTGAGCGCTGCGGCACCCTGTGCCACATACGAAGCACCGGAAAGAAGTGCTGAAGAGTGCTGAACCAAAGCCAATGTCAGATTGTTGCAGGCCATCAACCCCGAAACACCAGAAAAATGAAAACAAAAAGACAAACACACTAAACTCCCGAACATGTTACAGACCCGAAAAATCCCAACAAAGATATAATATAAACACCTAAATGTATAAAGAAATACCGTGGGACACTCCAAAACCGAAGCCTCTGAAGCCATCAACACCCTGAACCCCTCCCAATCCATGGGATGTAGGGTTTAGGGTTTAGAGTATAGGCTGTAGGATTTAGGGTCTAGGGTTTAGGGCCTATAGGGTTTAGCCTATAGGATTTAACCCTAAACCCTAAACCCTAAACCCTAAACCCTAAACCCTAAACCCTAAACCCTAAACCCTAAACCCAAATTAGGGTCTCAAGTCTAGGAGCTTTCAACCCCTAAGACTACCCTAAGCGATAACTTTCCTTAAAAACTCGAGCCTTGGCCTGAAGCCCCACAACACGGGCAGGAATCTTAGGGTTTAGGGCTTAGG